CAAGCGATAGATCAGTACGGGCAGGTGAAGATATTGGGTGGAGAGATCGGAACGGTTTTTTTATCAGAAGACAACAGCAACAACAACAACCCGAAGAGGCCGGACAACGCACGTAGCGTGCATTGCGGGGACGTGTCTGTGTGATAATATTTTGTATGTTATGTTCCATCGGGCTCCAGTGAGTGCGACCTGGAAGTGTGCATCGAAATCCGGTCCCGAGATTTTCGATGTACGCCAGTGGTAGCCGCCAGCGCCTTGTTTGTTTACATCCGTGGTGTTGGGAAGGGAGGATCCCTGCTTTTGCGGCTTACAGTCCCTTTCGCGTGTGTGCCCCGTTTCCCCGCCTGGTACCATGCGTGCTGGACAGCTTGGACTACCCCTCGTGGTTTTTCCCTCAGCACTTCAGCTTCGCCGCCAGGTCCTTGCTCTCCGGGCTGCTTCATCCCGATGCTTCGTGCAGGCTGTCTGTTCGTCAGGTGGAAGTCTCCCTCTTCGTGGATGTTTGCGACTTGCCAGTATCCTTCGCACGGAGTTGTTAAAGCTTGGTTTTGTAGGGTGCTTGGAGGGGTTGTTGGTAATGGGAACACGAAAACCCCCACTCTATTTCATAGATTAATATCTAATCCTGGCGAAAGCGGGTCTGATTTACAGGTTTACGGGATCATTCTTTGCCCAGGGCGGGACTTGTGGACTAGCGAGTTTTAGTGCAGTCCAACGAATGATTCTTGCGGGCCCCCAAGTGTGTGCCGTGCAACAACAGCAGTGTCGAGACATGTGCCGGTAAGGATCAATGCTCTTACCGCTTGACGTGGAGGCGTTTCTTCTTCTGCCGACCTTAAACCTTACTGACAACTCTCTGCCCCTCATGTTGCTCCTCCATGGCCGTTCTAACGCGCCAGGCACTGCGACACCCGTGGGTCTTAGACGGGAGGCTCTATTCCGGCTCGGGCGGTAGCAGCAGCGACGGCAGTGAATTCAGCGCCGGCGGCGCGGGGGGGGGCGTCGAAGAGGACTGGCGAGCCCCGGATCCTCAGAACATTCCTTCTGAGCTTCTGGGTGCCGATTCTGACACGGAGGACGAAGAAGAACACACGAACAATGGATCGCGGGAGTGGAAGGAGAGCAGCGACATGGGGCTTCGCCACCGCCCTGGGTACACCCCGGCAGTCGCGCAGCCGCAGCCGCCGCAGCCGCAGCCGCCGCGGCCGGTTGTCATTGTCGCGACGCCCCCAGAGAAGCAAAGCACCAGTAGCGTAGGGCGGAGGGGGGTAGGGGTTGGCCCTGCTAAGGATGTACCGGCCAAGACAAAGCCACCGTCCACGACGGCAGGGGTATCGGTGGAGCTCCGGGGTATCAGGTTGGAGGGGGAAGGCCCAGCGGGATCGAGCACAAGGCTTGGTGGCAGGGGCTCCGCGAGAGAAGGTCAGGGGCACCCCGATGCGGCGGCGGCGGCGTCCGCGGCGGTGGGAGGGGGAGACAGGCAGGCGTTGAAAACGACGCCCGCTCCTCGTCCGGCACCGCCACCAACTACCGCCGGTGATGCAAACCCCATGCCATCGACGGAGGCTGATGAGGACAACGCTGGCCGGGGGAGGAAGCAGCAGCCGTCGTCGGGGGAGGAGGAAAAGGCGGTGACGCCGAAGGGCGAGGGGGGAGTTGGCGGAGGAGACGAGAAGGAGGTGGAGCTCGAGACCGCCGGCGGCGGCGGCAGACAGGTGCTGTCGGCGAGGCGAGTCAGGGTCGCCACCGAAGTTGTTGTTCCTGCGGAAGCCGGCGAAGAAGTGGCGGCGAAACAAGCCCAGATGGCAGCGATCGCAGCGGTAGCAACGACGCCTTCGGCGGCGGCGGCGGCGGCGTCGCCGCCGCTTCCACCGCCGCCGCTCGCTCCCGTCGAGATGACGGAACCTTTCACGACGCCGCCCCGCAAGCTGCGCTCGCCGCGGCCCCTCGACGCCTTCTCCTCTCCCCCGTTGGCCCCCGTGGGATCAGGAAGGGCGGTGGAGGAGGAGGAATCGGAGTTTTCTCTCGACGCCGGGCCAGCTCTCCCGCCAGAGAAGGGGCGGGCGAGGAGCAGGGAAGGGCTACCCCCGGCGGGGCCGGGCCACGCGAGGTCAAGGGGCGAGAACTCGTCCGCCTTCTCCCTGGGCGTGGTGGAGCGGCAGCTGAGCATGGGCGTGGCTGGGATCTCGATCATGGAGGCGGCGGGGCAGGCCGAGAAGAGGGGGGGCGTGGTTGCGGCGGCGGCGGTGGCGGGGACTCCTCCTCCCGCTTTCCACGACCTGGTGAAGCGGTCGACTAGGTTCATGACCTCGGGTGAGCAAAGAAGTAGGATGGGAAGTGTTGTTGCCTCTTGTGTCTGTGTTAGACGCACAGAAATGGCAGGCGCGTGTGCTTACGCCACCGTCGCTGTTTATTATGTTTGAGAAGTGGTTAATTGGTTGATAATTCTTGTTGTGTCGGGGAGGTGTGTGCGCTGCCGATGAGCCCGCTTGGCGCCATTTCACAAGGGTTCAGCGCCATCCAAAGAATCGAAATATTGAAATATACGGTAAGCTGGATGGGGGTGCCACGAACTGGAGCCAGTCGGTCGGGGGGGCTACTTTAAGACACGTTTGGCTCAATCAGCTCGCTCGTGTTTGAAGCCCTCGCTCGCTCCCTTTCTCCCTCGCTGGTCTATCTCGCTGATGCCCGAATATCTGGTCTTGTCAGTGCCGGCGGCGGTTGTCCTTCGGAAAATCGCCACGATCATCGACGCGGACGCTCACCCGCTCCCGTACCCGTACCGCAACATCAAGCAGAAGGCGGTCGTTCACCAGGATGACTACAAGCTTGAGGTAGGGAAGGGACTCGCCGCCAGCGACACACATGTTCCGGTGTCCTCTCTTTAGAAGCGGTTTCTTGCCGCATGCAGGGGGGGGTCTGGGATTGTGGTTGTTTGGAAGAAATACGCCTATTAATTCAGGGGGGAGAATCACGGTGGATGCCGCTCACAGACTCTCTAGTAGAACCATCGTCGAAAGGTCACTCAGTAACACCATGTAGTTAGTGCTTTTTCTATCCTGGTCTGTTCGTCTGTGGATGGAGATAAATCTGTTTACTGTACTCGTATTGGATTTGTAGGACTGAAAACATGCATACGGCGTGGTACCGGACCATTACATCGTTCGACGGCTCTCGAATCGAAAACACACACCAAGGAGAGACCCTCCACGCCCATTTATTTTTCGATGATCCACGACGGGGTTGTATGACTGACGTGTCATCATGTCTGGCCTTGCTGCTTGCGCCGTTTCCGGACGTCGTTGGCAGATCATGCGGGGTGGGGTGTTGGTGTGTACTGTCCAGATTTACCTGCTCGGGGGCGAGCAGGGGGCGGCGCAGTACATGGTGGAATTCCTCAGAGGCCAGGTGGGAGACTTGCTTCATGTCTTTTTTTTCGGATATTGTCGCTTGCTTCCAAGCGGGTTTTGTGTTTTGCGAACCGTGCATCCGGCGCGTCTGTTGCTGCTGCTGCTGCTGCTGCTGCTGCCGTAGGTCGCATATAAGATGCCACGCGCCTTTGAAAATACTATTTAGCTACAACCATCAGTGGACGGTGCCGAAAAATGCCAGGGGTTGGAAATCTGGCGTAGAATGCTTTCGGAAAACATATATTTGGTTTTTGCGTCCCCCTTGAAAAATGCATTTTCGGCAGCCTATGCACAACACTGAGAAACGCTACCACCCCCTCTCCCGCCGCGACCCACTGCCCCACTGCTGTGTGTCTCTTTGATTCCCCATGAACATATTCGCGATATTGACTGCCGCTAGTTGGACATCTTTTTGTTCAAGCGCTTCTATGAGGACGTTCGGTGCAAGCTGAACGACCTAGTCAAGAAGGATTACAGCTTAGCTCTACTGGAATCGGGCACCTGCACCCACAGGTTCAGCCGGTTTTCGAATCTCGCCTGACGGGGCCAGGGAGAACGCATTTGGAGTAAGGTGGTTGCCCCGTACTACTGTCGTTGTCCCTCATCCCGTTCTAGCGTAGCTGCACATCGTGGCTGGCGTTTCACTGATGATCAAATTGATTTATTATTGCTGTTTCAAGGTTGGTGTTTGTGCAGAAGTCAGAGGTCGAGAGGCGACGGTATCGACAAGCAGCGTGTTGCGAAGGAAGTCCAATGAGAGTCGGCCCCGTTTTTTATAAAGCGGGTAGACTAGTCGCCGGCCCTTCGTTCTTTTTCATCGGGTGGGGGGGGGGG